AACATACAGTTTTTTATTATTTGCATATGGTTGGTCACGAATTCTTCAGTAGAAGATGTCCCATTTTTCTTTTTAAAGTTAATATTTATTTAAAAACAGCTATCTAATAACCATTATTATATTATAATAATGATTCTCGATTATAAGACTCGATAATGAGACTCGATTATAACCTTAATAGGAATGGATAAAGATACATGCTAGAGATATTTATATATTACATTTATTAAATATTCTCAAAATTTCAATTTACTAATAAAATTGTAAATCTAATTAGACACAGACGAATTTCTTGGTTTATTTAGTTGTTATTACTGTTAATTGGTAAATTTTTAACTAACTTGATGATCAATTGTTTACTATATCAAATTATTTTTACTTTTCAACTGGGACTACTTAAATTTTATATCTTATTAACTGTAGTATATTAATTTAATTTGTTATTCCAAACATTTTTTCTATATATATAATTCTTCATAACTAATATTAATATATTCATATTTAGAATTAAACTTTAAATAAGTTTTCTATGCACTTTTAACATTAGTCTATAAATATTTTAAGAACAAATTTTACTTATTCTTATTATACATTATTCTTAAACTTACATTTTTTGACACAATTATGTTTCAAATGTTATCTCTAATTTATTACATTTTTAACTACGAATTAAAAAAATTACTAATGTACTTTAAAATGATAATAGTGTAGAAATAAATTAAAGCTTATATAATAGATAGTTTTAGTTCCTCCTAAAACTTATTATTGCCTACTCTTACAAATAAAATATACAGAGTGGTTTACAATGATTTGGCAAATTTAGATTAGTGTTGTAAATATTTATTGTAAATTATAAATATATTTACCTTTTTAATGATATAAACATAGTTTTATAATTCAGGGAAAACCGCTTAATACAACCTACTTAAATAGTTGCAAGAAAAAATTAAAAATTTTTTTTTTAGTTACATATTTTTCATTATTTATCAGTTATGATTTTAGAATCATCTCTTATAAATTATAGAAATGTATACTTAAGTTTTTAAATAACAAGAATTATTCTAACATATAACAATTAAAAATAACTTATAAAATAATAGATTAATTAAAAAATATCTAATTAAGAAAATAACTGATCGATAACAACTATTGAACCAGTACTTCTTCAGTAACATTTTTATATCTTGGTGGGAGAGGAAGGACGACAAAGAAAAATGTAACTATAATTATTGATTCAAATTTTGTTATCAATTTTTTTTTGAAAATTATAGAACTATTAACTTCTGATAAGAAAAAATTGTATTATGTTTTATATTTTTAAAGTTATTGCACGTGATATTGTAATAAGACAATAAAACTACTAGTTATTAGATTGTCAATTTTACATAACAAATATTTATTAAAATCTCAAAATATTATATTATTTTAGTTTTTACTTCATGTTGATAAATATAAAATATTTCAGTTTCAACATATAATTAAAGTTAAATTAAAACTAAAACTCTGTAAAATATTATTTTGTCATCAAAGAAGTATTAATGTTTTGACATTTATTTCAAAATATTAATATAATATTAAATAAATATAATTTTATTAATATTATAAAAATTACTAAGGTACAACATTAAAAAATATTACTATTACGAATATGCTACCTGAAATATATTATTTATAATAAGTTACTTAAAAAAGTAATATTATATTTTTTTTATCTTTAATGTAACAAATGTATGTTACTTACAACTTAATTTTTATTTTTAATTAACCAGTAGTCTTGATGATGAATAAATATGATGACATATTTATAGTAAAAATATTTTTTTTATACACATAAAAAATGAAGTAGCATCTACGCAATTTGAAAGTTATGGAGTATTTAAATACACTATAAATGGTGTAGTTACCTTTAAATTACGGCGAATACGAATAATTTCAATTTGTTTGATTTTTATTACTTTGGTCTTAGAACATAATAAATGCAAAACGATGTAATACATTCAAAATGTTGATTTTTAAATTGTAGTCAATTTTTTTTTATTGTGTAAAAAATGTGTTAACATAATTAAATATTGTTAACAATATGCTGATTTATATATACATGTATCATTTACATAATGAATAATGTACGTGTAATTTATATTTGTTTTATTTTCACAAGGTATAATAATTATAATAAATCATTTATTAGCTACGATGCGAAGATAATAATGAAATAGTTTTGTAATAGAGTGTCTTTTTTTATATCCGTCCATAAAAATTCTCAGCGCTTACTGGATTGATTTTAATTTCAAAATAACCCCTCTTTTATCTAATTAAACCACCTATCATCACCAAAAATTGAAAAATACATCCTTTTTTTACAATTTTAGAAAAATGTCTTAAAATTATACTACCGTAATACACGTATTTTCAAAATTATCAGCAATTAAAACTATACTACGGTCATAAAAAGTGTAACAGAAATCATGTAAAAGAAAGAGCACGGTATGTTATTAGAACCCACGATCCTAGGAGTTGTAGAGATAAACCTTATCACTAAGTCACAGTGCACTAATGATTCATATCTCGTAAACTTTTATATTGATTAATAACGAGATTTGCGGCTGAGGGTGAAAACACATAAAAGGTGAAACAATGTATCGTGTCAACTGTTATAACTGTTAAAAAAAAACATATCCTTATATTTTCAAAAGTGTATAGAAAAACACAGAGGAAAGAAATGGTTTCCAAGTACTTCAAATTCCCAAAGAATAGTAATTATTAAATTATAAATTTATTTCAATGTTTCAGTGAAATTTTTAAATAGCATTGTAAATTTACTAATATACAAATTATTTTAAAATTTAATAGATTTGTATCGAAGTGTTTTTTATAAAGTGATGTTAATTACTGTTAGATGTCATATATAGTTGACTCAAAAATGTCACGGTCCCCCTCTATGCTGGGTGTTATTATTATTATTTTATTTTAAATTCATTTTTAAACAGAATCGACTTAGATATTATAAGTGTATAGTTCTAAAATTTAAAGTTTTTAATTTTACATGGTTTCAAAGTACAAAACATTGATTTTTTCAGTTTTCACAATACTAATTTTTTAAAATATTTTCATTAATAAAAAGAAAATTTAGCATAATTTTTAACATTTTTGAGAGCAATTTCATTAATTAAATATAATTCAGATTTTATTGAAAGGCATAAAAAAAACAGGTGTGAAAATTAATATCTTCTCATCTTTGCATCAAAGATAAAGGGTCTACCAATACATTAATAAAATAATATATAATACATATATATATATATATATGTATGTGTGTGTGTGTATGTGTATGTATTAATTATAAAATTATAAATAAAAATATTAGGTAAATACATTTTTACTGGTTAAAAATTGAAACTAAACCACAGACAACTAATAAATTAACTAATTTTGATAGATTTAAAATTTAATTTTCAGGATCTACAGACTTCATCAATTAATAATATTTGATAGTATAATATTAAATAATTAATTTGTTTAGTTTTAATATGATATCGTCTCATACTAACTTATCTACTACTTAATTCTTCATTAGTCTGTTATAAAAAAAAAACTTTTAAATCAATTTATCATTTTTTTTATATTCTGGACGTATATATTATGTTATTTACAAACAAATTTGAAAATAAATGTTTCATAATCAATCAATCTTAATTTTTATATTATTATTGTCTTTATCAATAAGAAAAACAATTAATTTTAAGTAGAAACATTAATCATTAAATATTTTTCCTATTTGAATAAATTAATCTTAAATTGTTAAAATCATATAGCTAAATAAATACTTTTTTTTTTATACTGAATAAGTCAAAAATATTTTGTATCAAAAATACAATATAATATTTTACTATCGATTTTGAGCGTCTAAAAATCAAAGATAATTAAACGATGCAATCATACTTTTTAGTTGTCATAGTCATGCTGTGATTTTCATAAAAAATAGTAATATTTTTGACTGGTCACAAATATTTATATCATCATAATTTTTGAATATGTTAAGGCATTTTCAAAAGTAATTATTATACTTTGTCTATAAATTATATATAAATCGTCAATTTACAAATCTTATCGATTTGATCATTCTAAAAAATATGGGTTCTGAAGCCACTAAATTAAATGCCAGTAATTTTTTAAGAATTAACTAATAAGTTTTTATGAATTTGATTTAACAATATTGAAGTGACCTATATTCAGATATTTGTAATGTACGGAATCAAATAAACGTAAAATATATTTTTTTGTTAGAATAAGCCTGCCTGAAATTTTGTTTTGAATCAAATGACTTATAAAGAATATTGTTGTGGGCAGATTAACACAATAAAAAAAACGTATATAAATCCATTATTTAGTAATTTAAATCAAAAACAACAAATTTATGAAACATAAAACCATACAATTCAACAACTTAAGATATTGTGGGTTGTATTATTCATATTCCCTTCATCATTTAGTAATTGTAGTTTGGGGCTCAATGAATATTATTAAATTCAATTTTAAGGTTAAAATTTAAATTACACACAATGCGCGATAGTTGAACATTTAATTTATGTTTGTTAAATTTGTTACATCAATGATATTTCTAATTATAATTTTTTTCAATTATTTTTGTAAAATTTCTATTTGAGTTTCAATTCTTTATCTATAATGACAACCGATAACTGTTAATAATAATGTTATTTCAAACGTATGTCAGCTTATAAATTCATTAATGTTAAGCTATTGATGAACAGGCTTCAATTATATTGTATTAAATTATTACTTAATTTAGAATTTTTTCTACAATTAAATTATATAAATTAATAATCTGTAGAAATGTTTTATGTATTTACTTATGATTGTCAAAATAATGAATAACTTCAATAGAAATATTGACATCTTTGATTTATTTTTTTTCATAAATAAACATTAATTAATGAATATATTTTTGGACACACAATATATTTAAGCATTTTAAATTTTAGGTGCCGCCATGGAACTGTCAATGGCGGGGGACGGGCCTTCGTAGATTTAAATCTACGAAGGACACCGTCAAAGCAGCTTAAGGCATCGTAAAGACTATGCAAATTGACCGGTTACAAAGCTTAATTGCGGTAAGTTTATTTAATATTATGATGTAAATAGATATTTTACTTATTCAAGAGTAAATAAAACCACAAGTATTGAACCAAACTATTTAATTATTTTACTTAGTTAAATTCATTTTAGGATGAAGTAAATTTCTCAGTAAATATACAAATAAATAAAAAATTTATTATTTTAAAATCTATTACAAATATTAATAAGTTAGTCATTGTTCGTTATATTGACCTGTTATAATGTAGTAATATATTATAAATGCAATGTTTTATAATAGTATATTATGTTAAAAAATTTTGAAGATGACAAAAGTATAACAAAAAATGTCTATAAACAAAGCTCTACTCCAACACTGAAATTCAGGAATATGATTTTGGATGATAATTATCATTTAATCATATTTTTATTATAATTAAATATAAAAAAATTTTGAAAAAATTTGGTTTTCAAATTTACAGTCTTTGAATTTTCACAAGAAGTATGATTGATATTTCAGTAAAACGACATAATTTAACTGACACAATAAATTTTATCTAACTGGTGAAATATATGTTATTAAAAAAATGTTGTATGTGTAATGTACTTAAAAGAAACATATCAGTAAAAAAAATGCACTTTTTTACTTCGTATAAGACTAAATTATTTTCGAAAAAAGATTGACGACATTCGTGTCTTTATATTGAACGGTGACTACTTAAAGGAAGACGAAGAAAAATTAAAGCATTAAACATGTAATGTTCGGGTTTTATTTTGGCTTCAGTCCATACTCTTTAACAAGTGGTTTGAGCTTGATGACATATTTTTCTTTTAATGTTTTTTACTCATTGAAATTCAAGATAATTGTTGATTATCATAAAGAATGATATTAATATACACGTGACAGAAAATGTTTCATTTTATATAAAAAGCGATGTTATTAATTACATAGTCGGAAAACTGATCAGCTCTAAGATGACGTAGATAATGTTATTGTTTATAATTAAATATGTATTGTTATTTTGTCATAGTAATGTTGAATGTAAATTACTCACTTATGAAGTATCGACAGTGTGTCCCACTTGAAAGGTTAACATATGTAATAAAAGCACCAGAATTTTGGGAATCAGAATCACTTCTCTCATTAATTTATACAATTTTAACACCTAATATTTGTTTACCAAATGTGATTACGTCATAGTATACCATTTCACAGATTAGTTTATTTTAAGTATTTTCTTAAGTATTTGGAAAACAGTAACAATGTCTGTATAATATGATAATTAAAGTGTTTAAGTAATATGAGCTTATCGTAAAAAAGTATCTGATTCTCTTATATCTTAAGTAATTTATCTTTTATTAACATATTAAAATTTCACATAAGAGTTTTATAAAAATAAATAAAAAATAACTTTCAATCTAAACAAATCTAATTTATAACGTTTTTTCCAAGCGTGTTGTTTCAATGTTTTTAAAACAACCACTATAAAGTTTTATATTTAAAAAAATAAATACCATAATAGAAGTAAATGCATACTTAATGTATATCCCTTAAATATCACGATAAACGACTACACACCGTGTCATCTTTAAAGTAATGTCCTTTTTTACTTTTCTAGGTATAATTTAAAGTAATTATCTTTAAAATAATCTTTGAAATATATTTATAGTTAATGAATACGATTATAATGAAAATTTACTACATTCACGTATTATTGATTTATCGTAGGTCACCAAAGTTTTGTCTAAAATAATAACAATTATTAAAAAAAAATTTTTGATTTTGTTTAGATTTATTTAAATAATTTTTATACCCAGCCCTTTTCCCTTATAAGGAAATAAAATTTTTTTTAATAATAATTTAACGGTCAATGATGAATCAATCATTCTGTATGTTTCTGAAATTTTATCGTAAGAAGCTCGATTATATGTTATATTTAAAAAGATAAATTTGAGAACTTTTTTTATGTATTAAACTTCTTGTAAAACGCATTTTGAAAAAAATAAATGTAAACTTAAGTGTTGCTAATTCATTATAAACCCTTTTATTGTTTTAATAAGTTTTGTGAAATTCTATTGAATTAATTTTCCATGAACCACTTAATTAATCCAAAAATAAAGATAACATTATGAATTCACTTTTTTGGTTTTCCTATTATAAAGTACTTTATGTTCATTTCTTACACCTTATAAGGGTGTCAACTTTTCTTTTTTCAAATGGCTACATACATTTATAAATTAGTTTATTTAATAGATAATGATATAATAATAATTGAGTATTTCACTAGTCGATATAAACTTTTGAAACAGTATTTGGGAAGTTATTTACACTTCATAGTGACGACTGTAAGTGAGACGTGTCGTTTTTTTTTAACTAGTCATTTTTCGGCCATATTCTTACAACTCGCCCAAGTATAAAAATGTCAATAACTTCTGAAATTGTGATCCAAAAATTTTTATTGAACAGTTATTTTCTCAAGTAGATTATTATGTCTTAAATAAACTAAAATTTTGAAATTTAATTACATTTTTTTAACTAAGAGATGGAAAGAGTGCCACTGATAAATTCTTAGTGCATAGAATAAACTATATAGCTAGGTCAACCCAAATTATGGTTAATATAGTGACAACCTAATTATACAATTAGTTAATTATTTAGTTAGAAGAACTATCTTATATACTAGAATTAATTTTAAACTAAATTTATTTAGTAATTCCAACTTATATAATAGTTCGGCCAACTATATAAAATAATACTTCCAATTATATAATTATGTCGTCATTATATTAACCATAAATATAAAATATTTTTTCCGTGTACTAAGTAATATTAGTTATAACATAATTTCTTTTATGTTTAATTTATATTGACAATTATAAAAATACTATTATTAATATCCTTATTTTTATTAATCTGTATTTTAAAGAGTAAACTTTAAACAAATTGGTAAATTACCTAAAATATTAAAATTATAATTTAATCTTGTGTGCAAATAATTATAGAGTAGTTTTATTTATTCTGTTATGCAATGTAAAATATTCATTACCTTCCTACTAATTGAAATAAAATACTTGGTATGTTAGATTAAATCTAATAAGATAAGCGTGTAATAAAAATATTTAAAATTGTTAATATTACACTATATTTAATAAGAACTTCTGTATAATTATCAATAACGAAATAATTATGCTGTTGTATACAAAACCTGGCTTTGATTAATAAGTAGTAAAATAAAAAATTATCGCAATATTAATTACTACTTTTCCACCTTTAGTTAAATACATACAATTAATAAGAGTTATTAACTAATAAAACATGACAGTTATATATTAGTAAATACTCGAATATATACAAGTGATTATTTATAATAAACCATTTAATTAAGCCAAAAATTCGCAAATAATATTTGCGAATTTTTTGGATTATTTATATAAAAAAAGAGTTATTAAATTATTCTAAAAGCAGCATTTTCCTATTTACTGTTTACTAGGTTTATGACTTATAAGTGTAATACATGAATACATATTTATTTTAGTAATTACATTTAATACAAAATTGATATTGATTAATTAAGTATTGTAATTTTTAACGAGAAATTATAAAAAGTTATCATATATAGTGAGACTTTTTTAATATTAGTCACTTGATTACTTTTAAATTAATAATTATATTAAGAAAAATTTGTTTGGTATTTTTTAATTTTATATATTTCTTGATTTATTGATAATAATTTTTTTTTTAATTCATTCCTCATGTCTGATAAGGGTGTCAACTATATTTTTTTTAATGGAAACATACATATATAATAAAAAATTATATAATTAAGAAAATGACTGGTTGATAACAATTGTTGATCCATTATTTTGGAAGTTATAACTATTTTAAAATAAATTAGGGGTTGTGTTATCTTTATCATTTCTCCACCTTAAAAAGTAACAAAATTGTGTAAAACTAATTATATTTTTTCAATATTAAAGACTTTAAAAACTAAAATAGAAACTGAAAAGGATAAGTTTAACTTAATATTTTTATTTTACTTATAAAAATATAATACACTATTAAAGGAAAAAACGTTTAACTTATTTTCGAGATCATTCATTTGTATAAAAGTTATCTAATTTTTAAGTAAACGATAATTTTATTGTATTCATTGTATTAAAACGAAATTTAAGTATTATATGTTATACGTATATACTCGTTTCCTATTTCTTTAAAAGTTTTTATAAAGTATAATTCTGCAAAACTATCTTTAAACAAAGTAAATTAAACATGCGTTAATGTAAATTTATGAAAAATGAGTACCTATATTAAAAAAGTATTTTAGTTTAAATCTTAGGCTGTCATTTATACTATAATTTTTCTATCAGGAATTTTAAGCCTTACGTTTAATTATTAATAAGTTTATTTATATTTTTTTTTAGGTGCTTATCACATTTTTTGGTGTATTGTTAGCAAATTCGGCAACAGAACCTTATATGCCTGTGGATTGGTTAAACGATTCGCATCGTCAGAATAACCAAAGTCTAAATCAGGAATCTCAAGATTGGTAAGCTGTTATTACTCTTTTAATGATAATTCTTACCACCTTCATTTTTACCCGATCATTCATGTAGCTATTTCACTCGAGATTTTCATATCACTATAAATTAAGGTTTTTTTTTTTTAAGATTTAAATATTAGATATTTGCTCTGTCGTCTGAATTTTTCTGAATAATGTTACCATAATATGTGATATTAAAAATACCTCGGCTTAACTGCTTAACTTAACGACTTAAGAATTACAAAATATAATTATAATCATAATAAATAACAATAATCTTCTTCGTTCATTGAGTGTGCAATACAATTTTAACTATGTGCTTTGCTTTCTTTAAACTGTATGGAATCTGCTCATAAAAAAAGATAAATTACAAACAACACTTATCTTTTAATGTATTTTCAAATTGAAGATTTCTTGCAACAGACACACTCTATTTCTGTGGTAGTATTATATCTTATATTCTATTGTGCATAATACATTTAAACGTTTCACTCATTTAATCCGAAATAATAAACGGCTGTTTTCGTAATAAAATTCTCTCTTTTCGAGCCTATTAAACGAAACGTCATCTATTTTAAGAGTTTTATAAAAGATGAATGGATTTATTTATAGATCAAGTGCTCAAAAATAGGTATTAGTGCTTAGTATCGTGATTGTGCAGAAACCGTTTATTTAATGTATGCATATGAAGTTCAATGCACTTTATGTCATAAATATTTTGCTATTATTTTCCTTTTATCTGAAACTGTCAATAGTAATAATAATAATAATTTAAAAATTCCTTAGAATAGAAGCAGATTATAAAGAAACCTACAAGTTTAATAAATCATATNAGCAGATTATAAAGAAACCTAAAAGTTTAATAAATCATATACTTCTCAATCAGAATACCCGGGAAAATTAATAATAAAATAACCTGTGTCATCATTTTACTATTTATTACACACTTAATTAGTTGATAAATTCTTAACAAATATTTTTATAACAGTCTAGTTTTAGCTTCTACATTCTACTATCAACAAAAAGGATTCTCAAAAAAATGTTAGAAATTTTACTTTATGCATGACAAAAATAAAAACAAATAACTCAAATTTTTGTGTAAAATTTAAAATTTATTTTTCTAAAATTATTGTTCGGTTATTATTAGGTTTGGTGGAGAAGAACCATCAATAGAAGAAGAAGTAGCAAATCATCGGTGGCTATCAGGCCGTAGAAGTCAAGAATACTTACAAATGATGGGAGGTCAAGAAGACTGTTGTCCATCGCAAATGGAAATGATTGAACCTAAAGGTGGAAGTAATCCTGATGGCTTATATGTTGAACTTTTCAGGTAAATTACATGTAAAATAATAAATTTATATATTCAAAAATGTTATTTTCTTTAATTTTTTTAGTTAAAAACTATTCAAAATTAACTAATTCAAATTGGAATGGTATTATAAAAATTAATTTATTCTTCTTTTTCTTCGCTTTTATCCCAACTACTTTTAAGATATATATCTATATTTTAATATAAATTAATAAAATTAATTAATTCATTTATTAAATGTTAAAGAAATATTAATTTGAGATAAAAATAGAATAAAACTTTTTATACAATTTTATTAAAATCTAAAAACCTAAATTAGTTTGATATCATAATTAGTACCTAATAATTGTCAAAAACACGAAATACTCAAAAAAATACATAGCCTATGAGGTTGAAAACTCTAAATAAAAATTTTGCGTGTACTATGATCTTTAATTAATTAAAAATAATTCAGGCTTTTGATAAAATCTGGCACGAAAGTTTCTTATTTAAACTAAATGAAAATTGATTTTCTCTATAGTATCCAATCATTCAGTCCTATCTAATAAATCGTATATTTTCTTTTAAAGACAACAATGACTACATTTTTAAATATAATATTGAATCTAATGGCCCGTAAGGTAGCATTATAGCTCTTTTCCTGTGTTCAATTTTTGCTCATGATACGCCTAAATCATTTTTAATATTACACAACCTTAAAAACTACGCTAATGACATCATCCTTTTAACTTCAAATGTAGATCTGGCAATGGTATCTATACATCTCCAAAACCATCTTTACATTATTCACTACTGGTCCACCCGATGGAAAGTAAAAATAAATGAAACAAAGTCCTATTTCATTATCTTCATCCTAAAACAGATTGATTGTCCTCCTGTTTTTTTCGATAATAAATTAACGTTAATGATGTTAAATACCATGGGCTAGTACTAGACAAAACAATCTATCATCTGGTTATCACATTTTAAAACCAAAGGTAAAGCTGTTAACTCTCGACTTCATCTTCTCCGTCCCTTTCTACGATCTAAACTATCTTTAAACAATAAGCTAATTCTTTACAAATCTTTAATAAGACCAGCATGACTTATACAAATTACATACAAATTTGATTTTGAAGAGAGGTTGGCAAAGCTTTCTAACCTAAGAACCATTCAGGCGTTTTCCAAGTGTTCACTCAAATAAATTCTGTTCCATGGTATATCACATACAACAACATCCACAAAGACCTAAAAATTCCAATCAACTAGCTAAATCCCATTACCTTTATTTCCAATCTAAACTAAAATATCACGTTAACCCACTTGTGAAGCAACTTTCCTCACTAACCTTGCCTGACCAAAAGACCTTCTAAAAACTTAATAATAATATTATTATTATTCAATATCTTAATAAAATAAGCTGTCAAATAGCACTAATGGGTGTTTTTTTCATTATCTTCATTCGTGTCATTATAAATAAATTTGTTATAATAATTACTTATAGTTCAACAGATATATAGATTATAATATATTTATATTTATTATATTGAAACTTGATAACAAGTTTTGATTTTTTCATATTTAAAAAACGTCAGTCTTCTATTAGTTCCAAATTTTCAATTTCTCGTTGTATACCGAAATATAATATGCCAAAATAACATTTCTACTAATTTATGCATATGACTATTCGTAGTAATCATCGAATGAAGTTGAATTAGCCAATTCTTTGGTCTTGTTGAAAAACGTTTTATTATATTTCCTAACGATATGCAATCAAAAATATTTTAGTGTGACTGTTGTTTTTATTTTGTCATGCACTATATTTATAGTTAATAACCTGTTAATGGAATTACTATTTTTCTGCTATTATTTATCGCTTTGACTCATATTAAGACTAATAAAAAATACCTCAAGCTTTTCTCAGAATTATATTTATACATTCCATTTAATATGAACAGCACATTATATTAATAATAATTTGACCACATAATATAGTATCTATATAATGTATTAACATACATGTTAAATATAAAATGTTAATTTATATATTTATAAATGATGGTATAAGAATTATAATAAGTATTATTCAAATTTTAAATAAACCTATTTATCTATCTTCTATAGTTGATAATTATAACTCTTCATTTAGTAATTGGCAATTTATCAAAATAATTAGATTTCACATTTTCTACTAAAACACATTCAAGTTTTAAAATTTGGAAGATTTAAAACGAATCGGGAAGTTTTTTTCTGTTATTTTTGTTCTTATGGTATACAACAATTATTATTTAGTATTGTTAAGTATCAGCGAAATGATAATCTTCCACGGGTATGTCAAAGAAAAATCATATAAGAAGCACTTCTCATCCTAACTTGATTGCATCTAAAATGGCTACTGTACGTATTATTAAAGTAATATCAAGCATGAGTATAATTTTAAGAAATTGATTTCTATAACTGTTTTCCTATTGCAGTTTATCATACAATACAATCAGTGCTTCATATTTTACACTTTTTTTTTAATGAATATTAATCTTACCATCGTTTTATTTATTATAGATATGCAGCTACTTTGTATTTATAATTTTTTTTTAATTGAAAGCCGTGTAAAATTTTGATTCAAAGTTATTACTATGCCGATTGTAAATATACTTTGTTTTCGTATTTTTAATTATTATTAAAAAACGTCAGTAGCTGTTTTCAAGGGTATACTCAATTATTGATTATTTATTTCATCATAAATATTATTATTGATAGTTATTATTAAAATCGTTATTACTTTAAGAATTATTACTTTTAAGTAGAATAAATGAAAGACAATTTAATTTTCAAACTGAAGATTGCAAAATCTAAGCTACACTAGCTAATAAATAAAATAACTGCTATCAAAATATTGATTACTATTATACTCATTGTAGACTAAAAAGCAATCACATTATAATAAATTATTATTAAGCTGTATATTATATACATTGTTTATTTTAAACGTTAAGTGATTAATTGACCAGCACTAGTAGAATTGCATATCAATAACTTACTCTCTTTGAAATTAAATTAAATTCAAAAATACAATCAAGTTTAATTCCGTTAACTGATCTAATGCGTATTTTGAAGCATACATGTTTTCATTATATTTGTTATTTATTTTAATATTTTAAATAAAATGTAGGTAAAGATTAGCTAGATAAATCTTTTTAATATATTATACTATGATTATGTATGCGAAGTTAAATTTTTCACGTAGTAAAATTAAATACTAAATTATATTTTTTTGTACATTAACTCACATTAAAAATTCGACTATTTTAAATTATTATCTGTCGTTGACACCGTTTTAGACTTTTCAGTCTCGATTCTTGCATATTACCGGTTCTCAAATAATTGTGTACTTATTTATAATTCGATTTGAGCTAAGATGATATTAATATGTTGATTTAGTTTTATAATAAACATAGTAGTTATATTACCTAATAAAACATTTTTCAATCTCGTTGCAAACAAAAGAAATAATTCAAATTATTAATATATATATATAATTCAAACATCAATCATTAGAGCAATTAAAACGGTTTGTTTGGATAACATTTTTCTTTGGTACGATTACAATATTTATAGAAAAAAACGACTTTAAAAAAAATTCTTTTGTTCAAAGACTACTATTTAGTAAAGCCAATTGAAATAAGTTGAATATACATAGTTGATTAATAAGTAATTCAGTAAAAATAAAACATCAAAGTATTACTTTCATATCTTCAATGTGGCTACTATTTTACTCTAGAGTTAGATGTAACCGTTAATAAACGTGTGTTACATAAATTATTTAAATGTTTTTATGTTAAATATTATTATAATTTATCTTATAGTCTAATAAGATTTGTCTTTATGCGGTATTGCTATTCGAGTAGAACTTGTACTAGTCATGTCTAGGTAACTGTTTTTTGCATAAATACTGCTTTATGCAGATTTTTAAGAGGATATCTGATGTAGCACTACATTATATAGCTCATAATTTTTTGTTTTAGATATCTATTTACTAAGATCATAGCAAAGTATAATAATGTTATTACTTATTGATGACAAAAAATAAAATGTTTACTTATAGTGCTTTTTTGTGTTGGTTACAGTGACGGAGCAGACAGACAGCGGTTTTACGAAGTGTCGTGCAAGCCAGGCGTTGAGGGAAAACCCTGTTTATTCATGGAACGTAAGTTGCATAATCACTCAGTGTGCGTTCAAAGATATTCGTATTCGTACGCCATTGTCCGTGAAGAAAACGGTCGTCATCACCACCATACTGTAAGCGGCGGCAATAATAAACAGTTTTCCTCATTATTTCCAAGTGAAAACAACGTATGGAAGTTAGATTACATTAAAGTGCGTAGTGGATGCACATGTATGGTACAAACACCAAAGAAAAAACAAAAGCAACGACGGAAGCTAAACAAAAAACATCAATGAGAACCAATGAAATTATCATGGTTCAGCACGGTTTGTTCCGCGAGTTCCCTATACAAAATAATTGCCAATGGCGTTCATAAATATTAATAATTATTAATATTTTCAATTATAATTGAAACCTCCAACGGCGATAATGTAACCAAATATTTTTTGTAAAATGTGTGTTCCAATTTGAAGAAATAGTCTTAAGTATCTTTAAGGACGCAGACATGACATCATTGTTATTAAAATTAATTTAAGTATAATTATTTTTATTAATTTCGAGCAGCTTAAAAATATAGAATATTCAAAAGGTCTGGTTAACTTTTTGAAGCTGTTATACATTTCTTTTTGTAAATAGTTATCTCTTAGATCTGAAAAACTATAATAATGCACCACATACAGCACAGTCATACGCCTACAAACAAGTGAGCCTAATTGAAATTTAATATAATTGAGTATTGCAAGTATGTTTTTAATAACTACATTTTTTTACTTATATTTAGTCAATCGAATGTTACCCTTAGACTTATTGGTAATATAATTAAGTGTTATGACTGCTGCCCAATGATATGTGAAACCTTTTTGGTTTAAAAGTTACCTATATAAACTGTTTAATTCTTATTAATCTGTATAAATATTAAATAAATTTGATTAAACTTTATACAAGTAATTTTGATTTCCCGCAGTCTTCCAAATTGAGATTACTACATATTATGAAATTAACTAAGTATGTAACATAGTAGTAGTAAAATATATTTACTTAAATATATATTTATTTTTTATTAATATTATAGTGTTATTGTAGTATATAAACAAATTTGTAAATTTTATGTTGTTTATTTATTTATTTTTTATTGTTCAATAATTAACTTTTTTTACTTTTTTTGATTTTTCCATTACTATTTTTTTTTTATTATATTCTTGTGACCCATTATTGTAATTGGTAGCTATTTTTCTACAAATTACATCATTTTAAGATGTTATATAACATGATTATTGCATAATACTCAATATTCAGCATATTATAGATATACTACATTATAATGTACTCAATACGCATAGTGAATTTAACAAAAATTACATTTATATATCAATAGTTTACAGAAATATATATATATATATATATATATATTTACTTACAGATAATAAAGTTCACATTAAACCGCTTCTAATTTTGGTTTTACTGTATGTATTAGTAATATTTTCTTATTTTACAACAAAGGTCCATCTATGTGTGATAACACTGTGATAAGTAGTGATGGACATTTTCGAATATTTTAAACTATCGAATAACTAATCAAATTGTTTTTATACAACCGAATAGTTTATTTTTAGAATAAACTATCCGAATATATTGTGTAACTATCGAATATTTTTACTATTCGAATATTTTTTGACTGACTATCGAATAGTTCGATAGTCGAATGTAACATAATTAATAAAGATCATCGGGATTAGTTATCATTATTTTGTAATTATTTTTTTGTGAAGAAACAACTAAATATTGAAAATGAATGATGAACGGTTGTGTTGGCTTTTATAGTTAAATATATTATAACGTTATTCTATTTTTACATTTAATGTTTAAAGAGTTCTAATTACAATTATTGTCATAAGCAGTTTTTAATATGGGCAAACAACTACTTTTTTATTACATATAATTTTTTTAAATATAATGATTGAAAAAAATTATTTTGAATTAATAAGAATTATTTTAGATTATGTATATTTTTAGTTTTCTGTTTTTCATTTTTAATTACGTTTTAACAAAAAATTTTGTTTTTAAAGTTATTCGTTACGGTTTCTTGATTTTTTTTTTAATTCATCCCTTATACTTTATAAAGATGTCATCTATATTTTTTAAATTACAACATACGTATAAAACTAGGTAATAAAATAAAAAATTATATAATTAAGAGAATAACTGGTCGATAACTACTTTTGATCCATTATTTTGGAATTTATTAACATTATTTAATATGTATAGTGGAGGAAGAGCGCAGTAAAGTAATGCGTAACGATAAAAAAATAATAGTAGTCATTAAAAAAATAGATACTTTTGTAAGGTTTAAGGGATTATTAAAGAAAATATTAATAATAATAATAATTATAAATTCAGAAATATAAGGAATTAAAAATACCATAAAGAATTTCCTTAACATAGTTATTATTTTAAAAATAAATCGAGTTGCTAATATTACAAGAATCATTGTATATATGTTAATACAATGTTTAGAAACATATTTTTTATATTTTTGTTACTCAATAAATATTTTTCTAAATTTGTTCATCCATTAAAATTTCTGAAANACTTTAGGAATGGACTTCCTTGCGTTTGAATAGGATGATAAAACGCTTAATGCGACATCCTTAGAACTAAATATAATTTTTAGCGGCCGAGGAGAATTGGTAGAAACTTTACCTAAGCGAATCAATTTAAAATCTGGTGGTAACGAGACCGAGAAGGGCTCTAATGCAGATTTTAAATGATTTATGTCATCTGTAACACGAGCTGATATAACTGAGGAAGTAGATTCCGGTACGCCATGAGCAATAAGATTGAAGCAACAGCGTTCACGATCAGATAATTCCCGAATGATTTTTGGCATGAAAGAAGAATGGTCGATTTGGGGAGAGAGTTCTAAATTTTTAACCTTATTCTTGAGACTTGTGATTTCATCATGTAGAGAATTATTTTCTGCTTTTAATTCGGTTATTTGTGTTGACAGAGAAGATAACTTTGCATTAAGGTCCTTAAATTGAGCAGTATAAGTATCAGCATAAGATTTGCTTTGAGAAAGCATCTGATCCTGTTTTTGCTGCAAGGAATTTATTGCTATGAGAATGTCTTCATTTGAAATAGGCGCCAGAGATGAACTAGATTTAGTTTTTAATAGGCGACTAGGATGCGAACTCTTGACAGGAGTGTCCCTTTTTACTTTTGAACTATTAGGAGAATTCAGTGAGTTCATAATTGGATTAGAATATGATGACAACAGGCGTTTAAGTCTCCAAAATTAAGAAACTGAAGTTAGTAACAAGTAGTAACTAAAACGATTACTGAGCAAGTATTGATAAGAAAGTTTGAACACGATGCTTCCGCAAAAAAAAAAAGTATAAAATTACCCTAAAATAAGGCGTCTTGAAGCAGGAAAACAAGTACACTTAAAAAGTGGTAAAAACTAATACGGAAACTATGAATATAAACAAACTAAATTAAAGAAAATACAAGATAATTTAAGTTGAAAAATGAATGACTGTCACTAAAACGAAACTGATAACGGATAATTAAGAGAATAACTGGTCGATAACTACTTTTGATCCATTATTTTGGAATTTATTAACATTATTTAATATGTATAGTGGAGGAAGAGCGCAGTAAAGTAATGCGTAACGATAAAAAAATAATAGTAGTCATTAAAAAAATACATACTTTTGTAAGGTTTAAGGGATTATTAAAGAAAATATTAATAATAATAATAATTATAAATTCAGAAATATAAGGAATTAAAAATACCATAAAGAATTTCCTTAACATAGTTATTATTTTAAAAATAAATCGAGTTGCTAATATTACAAGAATCACTGTATATATGTTAATACAATGTTTAGAAACATATTTTTTATATTTTTGTTACTCAATAAATATTTTTCTAAATTTGTTCATCCATTAAAATTTCTGAAAAAATAAATCTCTAAAAAAATGGATATTTTAAAATTAAAAATAAAAGTATTTGTTTTATTAAAAACAAATAATAAAAAATATGTTTTCAATGTATTTTAAGAATGTATAAATTGTTTTAAAAAAAATTCCTGTAAGATAATAATTTTATTTTAAAAGAGGTTTCAATGAGATTTGTTCTATCTGGTGTATTCTAAACATTCTAAATGTTAGGGTTATTTAAATTGTCAGTATTAAAGTTTTATAACTCAAATAGTTTTTTTAAGTTTCAGGAGATACATATAGGCAACTTAAACGTTATGAAACCATAGTCTTAGCCTAACCGAAAATATGCTGGTTGTCGAATTAAAATAAAAATCTGTAACAAGGATGCAATTTTTTTACATACTACGCAAACGTAATCAGATGTTCTACTTTGAAAAATTATACACCCAGAGAAAAACCTCGATCTATATAATAAATTCATTGTTCAACTTGATAAATATATCATTACTATTGAATCAATGATATATTTATCAATATGATATTTTTTTTTCTTGTCTTGAACAATAATTATTTATAAGAATAGTTATTTTGTTCGTATTAATAAAACATTATCATAAATCCTTGATAAAATTTCTCTTTCAATTTTGATTGAGGTTTTTCTTTGGGTGTAGTGCGCTAACAGGTATTTAGGAAAAAAAATCGGCTTTAAAAAACTAATATCAGTATTCGTATGTTAAATAAATACTATATTATGAGTTAATGGCATGCGTGTTCACATGCCATCAACCTAGTCTAGTGTTCACCAACACTAGATCGCTAAATATATGGGCAGCATAATTATCCATATAAAACAATAAATAGATGTATGCGTTTTAAATAATTGTATTTATATTTTTTAAGAAAGCCACATTTTTGTTTTATAGCTTAGGTACGGTTAAAAATAAGTTCGCAAGGTTAAGTACCAAATTCTGAGATCCCATGAAATTTTATGTATAATGTTATCATTTGATCAGTACATTGTAATCTAAACACGCCAAATAAAAATAAATCGATTAATACTTTACATTTAAAATTATATGTATTTTTAATACAGTTAACAAGCCAAGGTACGTGCTCTTCAGTGTACGAATACAGGTAAACCTTTGTTACACTACTTTTATAGAATTATCATTTCCCAGTGAAACAATCATTTGTTGATCAAGTGAATATTCAAAATATTATAAAATATATATTTAAAATAAAATAAAAATGCTATCTTAATTTAATTAAAAAACAAATAAAGGGGCAACACAAAACCGAGTGTAAAAAAAAAGTGAAATTTTTGATAGTGACTTAAATTTTCCGCCTATTTAATTACAAATTGAAAAAAATTTTTAATTTTTTTTTTAAATTTTCATTTTTTGACAATAAAAGTTCATTTTTATACTATACTTTATTAATAAGTATATAAAAATAAAATTATTGTCATTAAATGAGTTCATCTATTTTTAGATTAAAATCTATTAATAAACTTGAAGTTACCATATAAATACAAACGTATAATTTCAATATGCATACATATAATTATAATTTGGATAGTATTAGATCAAAATATATATAAATAATTAAAACGCATATACTCTGATAAAATTTAATTTTATATAATTATCTCCGGTTAAAAACTAACATGTCATTTAGTAATGGTTCATCAATAATGAAAAAAATTCTTAATTTGAACTTTTGAAATTATTTAAAACACAACCTAATAACAATGTTATTATAATTGACTTATCCAAAATATATGAAAAACCCGTCACTCGGCAATATCAACCATTATTGTACTTGGAATTTTACTAGGACTATCATTCCATAGTTGACATAGAGCAATCGTGCAAGTTTTATAATTACCTAATTAATTTCACAAATATTAGGACACATTATCTTTCAAATTTAAAGATATTGTTTATAATTCAATAATCTATAAAAAAAAAAATTATTATGAATAATTTATTTGGATTGCTTCAAAATTTAAATTTAATTTAGGTAGTAGTTAAGACATTTCTCTATCTACAGAAACATATAATCAATGTGTATATTATATTTTTCTGAAAATATAGAACTAATAACAATTAGAAACACTAGTAACTGACAAATAAACCGATACTTTCAAACTTTTTAACTATTTTATTTTTTTTAACAGAAAGATCAGAAATCATCACGGACTTGCATCGATCGCCGCCTATATCTTGATCCGACAGTTTTACCAAGTACGAGATACAGTTATAATGTTATCAAACGCGGACACATCTTGGACTTTGGAAGATTAAAATATCAACAAAGGCAAACTTCAAAACGATTATATTTAAGTTCACGAGAATCGTTGTAATATATGTAGCACTTTATTTTCGAAAATTAA